TGTGTCTGAGTTAGCCAGTTCACTATGTCTGAGCTAGCCAGTTTACTGTGTTGAGTTAGCCAGATTACAGTGTCTCTGAGTTAGCCAGTTTACTGTATTTGAGTTAGCAAGCTTACTTTGTAGCCAAGTTGGCCAGTTTACTGTGTTTGAGTTAGCAAGCTTACTTTGTAGCCGAGTTAGACAGTTTACTGTGTTTGAGTTAGCAAGCTTACTTTGTAGCCGAGTTAGACAGCTTACTGTGTTGAGTTAGCCAGCTCTGTTCATCTGAGTTAGCCAGGTCACGGTGTAAGCCAGCTTACTGTGTGTAAGAGTTAGCCAGCTTATTGTGTGGCTGAGTAAGCCATCTTACTGCGTCAGAGTCGGCCAGCTTTAGTTAGTGTGTTTCTAAGCTGAGTAACTGTTTACCTACATTTTGTATGCCATTCATTTGTTGTTGATTAGCAGTAAGACAACGTTTATCTCTGACTGATAATTTTATTTAACCTCTCTAATCTCCCTGGTCGCTAATTAGCGACCTTAGGTGCCATAACACAGAATTAGACAACATGTAAGCATGTGGGGGAGGTTTAATTGTCCAGTCAACAGTACAATCAAGGCCTCCCAGCTCACACATGTGCATCATTTATAAGGTAGCAATTGTTTGATGCCCAAGCTTAAGGCTACAGTATAGAACCTACCTCTATTGTTAAAGAAATGTATTTGATGGATATATCTCTATGGGGACCGTTCAGGCTGGTGACATATTGGTATGAGTGTGACAGGCAACATTGATGGTCACTCTCTTGACCACTGGTCAGATCATTACGATGACTATAAAAAACTCACATCATAAATACACCGATTGTTTTTGCGTATTACATTTCAGTCCACCTTCACCAAACCTGTCCATGATTATAGAACTGAGATATGACCCCATTCTGTCCAGCAATAGTACTGTGATGTGTAATCCCACTCTCCTTAGCTAGCCTAATTAAATACTTTGGCAAATAGCTAGAATGGAATAAGGATGTTTTTTTTGTTTTTTTTTACAAAAATTTCCTCCCTGTTATATAAGGAGCATAAATATAGAATATCAATACATCTTCACCCAAAATTAGTAATTATTCACTGGACAGCGGCCAATTGAGGCCTGAACAAGGCATGATCTACAATGCCCCGGGGCCACCTCAAATTGCTTTTATAGCATTAAAACAAAAGGTTATAAAATTCCTTGACAGGCTGTGAAGCCGCTGGACTGGCCAATCCAACTCCTCACAACATCCGTTTCTATTGATAATGTAATCCTGCGAGCTTGAAATGATTATAAAATTCTTATGAGGCTGTCAGATCGCCTTCTTAAATCAATGTAGACAAAGCCCCGACAAAGACCTGACCGATTCTACATACAAATGAAAATTTGGGACTGCTAGCCTTGGAAATGATTTCCATTGTCTGCTAATGCTACCCTATATAGCCTGAACTTTTCAAACCTGTAATTTTACAGGGGGAATTCATTTGGGGAGTAAATATATAAATAACATGATTACCGCATGCCGACATCATGGTAGACCAAGGTGTCTGATCGACTTGACTTGCCTTTTCACAAGTAATAAACAGTTGACGGAGGAGGGTAATTGTTCCAGAATTTCTCGACCAGCTCCGCGCTCCTGTTCTTCTCTCGCCCTGCTATGGCTGGGCAGCCATGTTAGCCACACTCTCCATCAATATTTCACACAGCCAAGAAATATAACCTCAAAAATATTGCCACATAAAAAATATTGGCAGAAAATATGACAACTGCCTAGAACTGAATTGAACCTACATAGAAGTACAGGTGATACCAACTGCGGGTCCATCTACAATGATTTACCAGGAGTTCCCTTCAAGGCAGCAAACAGTTCAAATATTTGTTTTCACATCATTTGTACCAAGAAGAAGTTAATATGTGAATGTTTAGTCTATAAATGGCCTTACATAACCCACACCCTGCCCTCGGGGTCTGAGTGCAGCTCCACAGAAGTACAAGGGCAAGTCAGTGGGTTCCTCCTTGTTGATGCAGGCCACTAACACAGCATTGCCATTATAGCTTACCTCCCACTTAACCTCTTATAAGCATAACACACTTAATCAGTAATTACAGTCGTTATAATAATTATGGTGAGGGCTGATCTGATGGAGGGGACTGGACTGGCAGTTTTGAGGAATTTTGATATTACGAGTGTGTGAGAGGTTTAAAGTGCTTGGAGACATGCATTTCCTAGACTTACAAAACCATGAGGCAAAAACAATTGACTAGACATACTTTTATTTCATTTCTTATTATAAGTTTTTTTTTCAAACAGCTGTCATATCTTTATCTATGAATGTGCACTAATGGATTTCTGAATACGCACACAAATGTCTCCGAGACATGTAACTCTCGCTTTCTGTAAACAAAATCAGAAGGTTTATGACAGAATTTAAATGGAAAAGAATTCCACCACTGACTTAGCTCACCTGCTACCTAATGTTCTTACTTAGAGTTTCTGTTATAAAATTTGACTCGTAGTAATATCAATCATTCTAGTCCATTTAGCCTACAGAAAAATACATATTGCAAACCTGAGTATTTGTATATGCTTCCCAGCAGGAGCACCTACTCCTTTATACAGCTAGGCAAGCATAACTGCGTTTTGTTACAGACAGCAGCTGAATGTGAGTCAATTAAATAAAGATTTAGCATACCTAAATGGTCTAACACAATGTATCTTCCCCTCTTCCCCAAGACGATATTAGGAGGAAAACGAAAGAGAGGAAGGTGAAAACTTTTGAATATCAAAAGTGTGTTTAGGTTGCTTCCCTTGGTTACATTCAACCAAATCTATTCACGCCCCAGAGTTACTGTTCTTGATATTTAAAAATCTCATGTTGACAAAAGCAGTCACAATACCATGGTGACAGTATAGGTACACACAATCTGGACGGGAGACAAACGACACAACAGGGGTTTCTTTGAGGTAGATTTAATATGTGTTTCTGCAGCATATGTACACAGCAATCAGAAGCCATATTGTACCAGCTGAACAGTGGAACTGTCGCCTTCATCAATATTTACATTATTTTTGTATGTACAAATATGGCAAGGACTGGATACAGACAGAGATCATGTTTGATTTTATTAACTACACATCAATAATTCAGGGCCATCCGTCTTCTCAAGATGATGTAATTGTCCCAAGAACACAATTAAGGGTGGGCGAGTCAGGCCGACAGTCCAGTAGGTACGATGCCATACACAACATGTTATGGACACAAGTTCACAAGAAATAACACTAATTTAATTTCAACATGCCTGCCCAGTGTGTTATGAATTCTTTTCACCTGACGGAGTTTGAGTTCATGAAGGGCACTAGACCTCATAAAAGCTTTATCTTTAAAAGAATGATTAAATCCAGGAAAAATCAATCGTACATACATAGCCAATGAATTTTTAATGACTAAAATCCACAGTTAAACGTCCACAAAAAGCTATAATTTCAACCTGTACAAGCTACGGCCTCATTGGGCCCTTGGACTGTACCAGATGACCTATCCCTCGCCTTCTTTAACAATAAGATTTTAATTTGCTATTTCTTAATAATTGATTAGCTGAATCATTATATCAACATTTGAACATTGTAATGCACTGATCCCATATCTAATGAGACACTAACTGGTAATGTATGTCCCTGTGTCAGGCACGGCTGTGGTTTAGGGGGGACTGAGTGGCCCCGGGGAAGAGGGATCAGTCAGAGATCTCAGCCCCTGGGGAGGTAACCAAAGCAGCTAGGACACCGTCTCTGGGAATCAAGGAAGTTACGGCTGGGCATAGCATGCAACAGTTATGGATTACACATAGATAGACATTATAGACATTGAATGGGGCCTGTAGGTAAAGCCAAAGATTGATATTCCCTCTGGGGTCTTTATACCTTAAACTGAAATTCATTTTATAATGATACTTCAAAAAGTCATTGAGACATGAGTCAGGGGGCCATTATCTGAAAGAGGTGAAGGAAATGGGGCAAACACCAATAAAGATTTTCTGATATTGTATGGGGGTTGAATTTCAGCAGATTTAGAACCAATATCTGGAATATCAGTATATTGCATCAAAATTATTACAAATATAAATTTAACAACTCAAAGTCAACAAACTTATTGACCTCTAGAATATTGCTTTTTAATACATGTATAATTTATTTATGTTTACAGTACAGGTATTGTTTTATTTTTTTTATTGACCATGACAACATCGCTTACTGATCAGATATAATGACCTTTATGATATTGCTTATTGATCAAATATTGACATTTTTAATATATTTGCTTATTTGCCAAAAAATTGACCTTTAGAATATTGCTTTTACGATATTTTGAATTACCAAAACTTATCCACCTTGTCAATATTGCTTATTGATACAATTTTTTAACCTCTATGATATTTCTAATTATTAACACTTATTGACCTTGTCAATATTGCTTATTGATAAAACCTATTGACATATAGGTTAATGATATAATTTATTGACCTTTACACCTTATTCTTTAAACTTAATAATGCATCTGATACATAGATAACTAAATTGTTTAAGTAATATTAAGATCTTGTAGACAAACTGTGTAAGATCTATCAGTGTAACGGACAGTAGAAATCTATTACACCCTATATCAGTGTAACGGACAGTAGAAATTGATTACACCCTACATCCATGTGACATTTTTTTCCCAATGTCTTGATTCATAATTTTTTTGCTATAGTTGTTTTTGAAAAGCTGTGACAATACCAGGATATATATTTAATTGAGTGATCATGTGACATACTCTTCGTCCAATCTGAAATCAATATTTATTCACATTTTAAAAGAGTTATTGATATCTTATGAAAGCTGTTCATTGCCATGTAACAGCTTTTCTTACAAATTTTTTCTTTCTTTATTTTTGTTTCTTTTCGATGATTTTTTGTCTTTATTTGTATTTTTGTTGGGACTAGTTTTGTTCACCTTCAGGACATCAGGGAGATTTCTCTGTAGACTGCCTCCCCTCAGACATCGAAACATCTGGTCTAACATCTTTCGTCTATCTTTGATATAGTCACCGATCGGCTTCAGCTCCTTTTCTAGGTCCAGGTCACTGTCAAGGTCATTATCTGAGCTACTCCTCTTAGCTGACTGAAACAGAAAATGGAAAAGAAAATTAATAATGATAATCTGAAATTTCATATTTTCTGTAAAAACAATTACATTGAGCTGACCTTATCAGTTTGGACTGTAACCATTTAATTTACGGACGGCAGTGTTGTATAATTGTGCGTGGCAGTCTGACACACTGGATACCACACTTAATATCCCTCTGAAGCATGTCTGAGACTCAGATCCAGCTATTAATCCAAGTCTTACAGCTCTGCTGTGTCAAAAACAATTCATTCACTTTAAAAAAAAGTCTAGGAGACCAAGCTAAATGGCGGTACATGTGTTGAGCTGGGCTGGAGGAGAAGGGACCGCCTCTGATTGGATGTGACAAGTCTAAATTGATTCTATGATTTATACAGGGAAAAAAACAACTTATAAAACACATTCAGTGGTAAGATTGGCTGATGCACTACAGCGATAAACAACGACACAGTTGTAACACTACTTATGAATGTTTTATCAAATGGCCAATTGGTATACTTCTTGTCTACAGTCCCTCTAAAACTTATAATCTTATAGATACTGGACATTGTTTTGTTGAAATTATTCCTAATCACTGTCACAGCCATGCTTGAACCTGCTAATGCATATGAGACATCACATTTAGCTGTCTGGTTGCATGGAGAATTACCCTCAGTTTTAACACTGATTTACACTTAACTCACTTATACACACTTTTAATGTATCATGCTCCGTCAATTTCCTTTTTTTACAGAGTATAATATAATTTTAACAAAAAGCGGGTGTCATGTTAGTTCAAATTTTATAATCTAAAGATTTTACCGATAGATATGGGCTGTGAGATTTCCATCCCTGAGGTACCCTAAGGATGTCATCGGCAATTAGGTGTCCCAACCGAACCATTAAGGTACAATGTGTCAACCTAAATTTGTAACTTCATTACAGAAATTGTACTTATAGCCAAGGATTTTAAGTCTTTTGCAGCCTGCAGGGATTCACACTTGGACATCCAATAATAATGTTTTTAGGGGAGGGGTGGGGGTTGCATCTAACGGCCAAGGCTGAGGGTTTAAGTCTAATGCATCTGGCAGGTATGCACACTTTGGTATCAAAAACTAGATTTCTGGAGGTTAAGCTGATAATTTAAGTCCATTGTACCCTGCAGGGAGGCAAATCGCGATATTAGATGCTTAGATGTTATTTGTGTTATATTTTTTTGAACTGTTTTTTATTTCAAATTTTTAAGCAATCAAGAATATCTTACACTGGTCAATCAGCAAAATTTATTTACTGTAATGTAAACAAAGTCTGCTGTAATGAAATTGAAGTTTGCTGTAATGTGACTTTAGTTTGCTGTAATGTAACTTAAATTTGCTGTAATGTAACTTAAGTTTGCTGTAATTTAAATAAAGTTTGTTGCAATGTAACTTAAGTTTGTTGTAATGAAACTTTAATTTGCTGTAATGTAACTTAAGTTTGCTGTAATTCAAATAGTTTGTTGTAATGTAACTTACGTTTGCTGTAATTAGGGCCCCGTATTGGAGATAAGGGTGCCCTATAATAATCTGTCTGTCTGTCTGTCTCTCTGTCTGTCCGTCCGTCCGTCCGTCCGTCCGTCCGTCCGTCCGTCCGTCCCCAAATTTTGTTCCTGGCTGATAACTTTGGTATTTATTGACCGATGTACATGAAACTTGGTCAAGATGTTCAGTTCACAAAAATACACATTGAGGTTATGACATTATGGAGCAAAGTTGATCAGAATTAAACAAGGAGTTAACTGACCAAAGGTCAAGGTCATCGGGTCAGGGGTCAAGGTCCAATTTTGTAGCTTTTTACTGGTGAACATTTCGCTATGACATTATGAAGCAAAGTTGTTCGGAATTAAACAAAGAGCACACTGAGGTAAAAAGTCGAGGTCAAAGGTCGAGGTCAAAGGTCAAGGTCATTAGATTCAAAGGTCAAGGTCAAATTTTGCATCTTTTCACTGGTGAACATTTCGCTATGACATTATGAAGCAATGTTGCTCAGAATTAAACAAGGAGTCAATTAACCAAAGGTCAAGGTCACTGGGTCAAAAGTGAAGGTTAAATTTTGTACCTTTTCCCTGATGAACATTTTGTTATGACATTATGAAGCAATGTTGTTCAGAACTTAACACAGAGTCAACTGACCTTAGGTCCAGGTTACGGGGTCCAAAGGGTCAAGGTCAAGTTTTGTATTTTTCACTGATTAACATTTTGTTATGATATTAAGAAGCAAAGTTGGTCGGAATTAAAGAATATGTCAACTGACCAAAGATCAGGGTCACTGGGTTAATGGTCAAGGTTATTTGTGTCCAAAGGTCAAAGACAAAGTGGATCTCTGACTTTGACCCCGGCTCTTGATGGAGGAGGTATATAAGGTGAAATAAAACAAATCAAAGCTAACAAATGAGTATTGCACCGGTATTTACATTTCTGTTAGCCCAGAGAATATGGAAGTGGAAGGAAACAAGACTCACATCATAGTACATGTAAAATGTGTATTTTGCTTCCTTGCGATTCTTTTTGAAGTCTAAATTTCAAACGTCAAGCTCAGCTATATGGACAGCTTGCTTCTTGATGATTATGGGGGATATATTGCCACAAGACAGGGCCCTTACTGACCTGTCAGTGTTCTAGTTTAAATAAAGTTTACTGTAATTAAAATGAAGTTTACTGTAACATACAGCTAAACCATGCTCTTCATAATCAAATCGTTTATTCCTTTTGTTTATTTCTAGATCCTCATTAATCAACTTTTTTTCTCAGTATTTTGCCAGTTTTTATTCTATTCACCATCTACACCTTAACATAACCTGGTATAAAGTTTTTATTTGAATTAACCATTTTGATCGAGGTTACATGATAAACATCATATGACATTCAATAACAGTAATTACGCTGTACTTTATGTTAAGTTCACAAAAACCAGCACAAATCAAAAGTATCCAATCACCCTTCAAAACATCTCAAAGGTATACCTGCAACTAGCATGCACATGTGTTGTCCTCCAAAAGTCAGAACTAATTGGACCTGATTTCACTGATAGCAGACAGTGATAAAAGAGTGTTGAAGGCATTGTTTGATGTCAGAAAGCTTCATGTCCTCATCTTATTTCGTTTTGGAACCAAATCAACAACTCCATATAATTATGTCTTTTTTTTTTCATTAAGTACGAAGAAATGTGTGTATGGCCCCCTTCTATAACTTGTAAACTTCAATCACGACTGGGCCTACCGCTCCGCTGTCTTTTTACAGTTAAAGGGTCGATACTCTATGAAAACTCGAGCATCAGAGTGTTAAATAGCGACTGCTGCCTCTCGGCACATGGTACACAGATGTTACGCAATAGCAATGTGCGACTTCAGTGCATTTTTGAGTGCGCCTTACACCATGCTGTGCCGGTAATACACCACATCGTTTGTTACTGCTAACCCTCAACATCGTCACTTTATTGGTGAAGTTTGCCGTCATGGCGACAGTCCCATGATGCCCTCATGACAGGTCCTTAATGCATACTAATAAACACCAACAAATATGATCACTAATATTCTCTAAACTCACTCTTGATGCTCGGCAATAAAGAATGAGAAATACGCCCTTCCACTCTTCAACATCAAAAGGAAAAGGCTAAAGCTAAGTTAGAAGAAATCAAAATTCTTCCAATATCTTCATATTGAGCAGATAATTTGCCTTCTAACCATGCAAGTTTATCTACTGCATATGCTAGGGAATCAAAATACTCATCAAAATACACCATTGCAAAAGACCTCTTACATCTTTTATGAATCAACTTATTTTCAGAGTTACATATAACAATTTATAGAAGCGCTGATGAGAAAAACACAACTGCCAAATAAAAAACTTTAGAAGCTTGTAAAGTGTTGAGTGTGTTAGTTGATGAGATGGCAGCGCGCACGTGTAACAATGTGCGATCCCAAACTTGCAATTAATCTCCCAAATTGGCTTTGTTTTCCATTTCTTAGTTTCACCGATTTCAACCAGTCTTTCTTATTTTGTTACCAAAATCTTGGCACTGACAGAGCTCAGCAATAATTACAATATTTCCCCTCTACAGAGATGTGTTTTTACAGTTTACATCGTAAGGAAAAACAAACAGACGTTCAAGTATTGGATGAAATGGTCTGAAATAAGTGAGAAATGAATATTTCAGATATTTTCAAAGACATGGAGGAGATTTAACTCTAACTGCCTGTGTATGAATACAAGCACAGCAGAGCTCAGCCAGCACTCATTATAATGTATAAACCACATGTTAGTGCGGAGTTTATAATTACTCAATTTTCGTAATATTTACTTAGCTTTGAAACAATTTCGCATCAAATATGGTTTTTGTATAAATAGGATTCCAGCAACTCTTTGATTCTGTAATTGTAGAGAATACAAATTATGTAATATTTCAGACAGAAAATCAATCATTATCAAGCATATAATTAGCTGTTTTACAATAAATGCAAGAAAAGGAAATCTTGTTTTATTCTAGCATATCAAAAGGATGAAAAAGAGCAGTACAGGAGAGGGTGAACTATTTTGGAATAAAGAATAAACAAGTACTCTCCTGTTCATTAACCTTTATGTATAGTTTTATACCAGTCATTAAACATGACAAAAAAACCAACCTATCAGAATCTCCTTAAAGACAATCACACTATTACCAGTGACCACCTTAACTGTCCAGTTGAACCTTCTCTAACCCCTAATCCTGCCACCAACCCTTAGGTGACCACCCAGTTCCTCCTGTTCCCTAGTCCCTACTCCTGACACCAACCCTTAGGTGACCACCCAGTTCTTCCTGTTCCCTAGCCCCTACTCCTGACCCCAACCCTTAGGTGACCACCCAGTTCCTCCTGTTCCCTAGTCCCTACTCCTGACACCAACCCTTAGGTGACCACCAGTTCCTCCTGTTCTTTAGCGCCTACTCCTGACACCAACCCTTAGGTGACCACCCAGTTCTTCCTGATCCCTAGCCCCTACTCC